TCCATCTTCTTCATCTTGTCTTTCTATGGAGGTGTGAACTCCAACAAAATTATGTAACTAACTTTCAAATTAATTCTCAAATTTAGAAAAAATTTGTTACAAATGAAATTCACTTCAGGTTTATATACTAACACCCAAATAAAATGCACACCAAATGCAAACTTAAATGCAAATGAAATCTAAATACAAATGCTGAATTTGAATTACATCTAACAAGGATCTATTGACGAAATTCAACAAAATATTTGACGATTTTCATAATATTAAAGTGAAACTTGATAATAAGGATACACCTTTACTCTTATTAAGTTTGTCTCCTATATCTTTTGAGCATTTCAAGAATGCATTGCTTTATGAGAAAGAGTCTAGTATTACTTTGGATGAGGTCTAATATTTGACAAGGAATAAGGAGCTAACTAATCTTGGTCTAGTATTACAAGATATGTGTTATGTTCCCAAACTGAAGCAAAATTTATTATCTATAAACATGGTTGAATGTTCATAATATTATACTAAATTAAACATGGCTTAATGTATATTTCACATGATAAATTAATAATAAGTAAAAATACCAAAATGTTTAGTATATACATATTAGATGGTTCAACTATTATTGTGTTATATCATTGCCTAGAAAAATTTCTATGTTAAATCCAACCTATAACATATAAGATTTAGGGCATGTTAGTGATAGGAGTTTAGCAGAACTAGTTAGGTTTATAAGTAACATGCATTTTTCTAGAATGAAGGTGGTTTTTATTTCCTAACTATGATTGGTGATCTACTTAGAAGAGTGTGAGTTCAAAGTTCAAAAATAAAAATGACACATTTGAATATTTTAAACCAATGTATAATCTAGTAGGGAATCAAATAAGAATAAAACTGAAAGTTTAAGGACCTGAAATGGTCTGTGGAGTTTGTTTTATATAGCGGTTTAATGCATTTTGTAGGAAATATGGTATTAAGTATAATAGGATTTTTCCAGGAACACCTGAGTAAAATGTCCTAGTTGAATGCATGAACATCATCTTGGAGTGTGATAGATGTATACTTTTGGAAGCTAGGTTTCCTAATGGTTTTTAGGGAGGAGTTATGATTAGTGCAACATATACTTGATAAATATATTTCTTTATACATGAATAAACTTCAATATATCTATGGAGGTTTGGAGTTGGAAAATCAACTAACTACTTTAATTTTAAGGCTTTTTGAGCTTTTGGTGTTTACACATATTAATCAAGAAAAACTTATGGTAAAAATTTGTGAAATGTATCTTCATTAGTTATCTAGAAGGTATGGAGGGTTACAAGTTGTTAAAGATGAAATTTGGAGGATTAAGAATCATAATAAGCATTCATATTTATTTTGATTAGATCGGTATGAGAATAAAATATAAAGACCTAGAGGATAGAGGATCATAAATTGTGGTGGAGAAAATTCATTTTAGGATTGAATCTTCTACTAATGAGACATGAGATGAAGAAGAGGCCAGGTGATTCTCCTCCATCAAGTTATAGTGAAAAACAACCAATAATGGCCTCTGACTATGAGTTTTCCAATGTTTCACCAAAGAGGCGTAATTATGTATATCTTATGTATTCAAATTTCACCTAAAAGATGCAAGACTCGGAATCAATGATCTTGAAGAGGGAGTTGAGAGAAAGGAAATTTAAAAAGGGCCAGAGGTGATGAATTAAGAAATGGATTCAGCGGAGAAAAATCACACTTTAAAAATTACGGGGTTACCTAAGAAATAAAGGAGAATTGGATGCAAGTGGAGATCTGGGCCTAGATTAAGGTTCAAGCATTGTTTAAACTAGATCAATTTTGATGAAGAGTAATTCCAACATTAGAGAGAATAAAAAATTGGCTTATGAGTAAAATCTTGAGCATCATCATTTATTTGAAGTCAAGGTGGATAATAATAGTGAGTATTCCTTTACATATGTGTTTTAATCTTTTCGGGGTGAAGTTCCAATTTTAATTTTGATTCAAATCATGGTACTAAAACACATTTTTTTATGAATTTCTATATAGGGAAATTTGAATTAACCTTCATGATGATTCAAATCAAGTTTGATTTTTTATATATAAACAGGGCACAAATACATGATTAGGGAAGCACACAAGTGCGCACACACACGTGCACCCCCCCCCCCCCCCCCCCCCCCCCCCCACACACACACACACACACACACACAAATGTGGTTATGAGCTCAATTACAAGTACGAGTATGGGTACATAGATACTCATAGGATACAAGTACAATTACAAAACGTTCAGGTTAAAAGCTCTATTATGTTAATTTTTGAAACCACATTTATTGAGGCGAATACTATAGTATCTTTCCCTACACTTTATCCATTACTATCCCTAAACACTCATGTTATTCTGAGCCGACAACGTCAAATCGGGTCGACCATCAGGAAGCGACCCCACTCCTTCCAGAACCTTCTCAGTATACGAGAGCTATCATCATCACGATCACAACAGGTCTCAACTACAAGTGCATTCAACGATGCTCCAAATTTCACAGCTAACAAATAATATGTTAGTTATTTTCTCTTTCTTTATATATAGAGAAAGCGTTAAATTGAGGTAATGAGTTTCAAATTCAATTTCATTTCACTCTTCTTCCTCATGTACGAACTTGACTTGTAGAGTGTTAACCTTACAGGTCCCCTTATTCCATCACACCAGAAGTCGTGATCCGCCATTACTGTTGTTGCTCCTCTCATTTCTGATTTCAGAACAGAACAACTCCTAATACTTTTTAGTGAACAATATCATATAGAACCTTGAAAGAGTTTATATATAATGACATCATTCATCTTACATACTAGTTATGTAAGGATGTGTTAGACTAAACTCTAATATGATATTAGAATTTATCGATCGGACTATGGACCCAACTGTTTATATTCATGCACCAAATTCTAAAACGCGGGGTGTGAGAGATGTATTAGGAAAATTTTAAACCCCACGTTGATTAGAGATATTTTTTTAAATTTTTTTATATAAAATAACACTTCGCACTTTACCAACTAATTTTTTAAAAATGTGTTAGATCAATCTCTACTAAAATATTACTATCTTCGTCCCTAATTATAAGACATTGTTTAGTTTTTTTCTTGTCCTTTTTTTTATAAGTTCCTCTTCAACTTTTAAAGTGTATTAATTTTTTTTCAAACATACCCCTAATTATATTATATATTTTTCTACAATATATAATAAATACAATTACATTCACATTAATTATTTCTCTATCTTAAAGATAAATTTATAAAATTATACAAAATAATCAATAAATTTATTACTTTAACAAACTTTTTTAATTCACGCAATTTACTCTATTGAAATTTTATATTTAAGAAAGGAGGTAATATTATTTTAATAAAATAGGTTTTGTTAGGAAACAAAGGCCTTGTTTTTCTTCTTCTTTCATCCCCCACCCAAACTCCTAATATACTTACAACTACACTAACAGTTTCCATTATAAAAATGTATCAACACTTACTTTATAGGATTAAAGAATTATTCATAATTATAATTCAAATAAAATAAAATAAAAAACACTCAACTGACATGAAAAATAAAATGGTGGTAGGAAATCCAATAAAAAAAAAAGAAAAGACATGAAACAAACAACCCACTTTAGCAGCTTCCAGGCAATCAGGTTAGGTTTCTTCCATAAATAATGCAAACTGCAGTCTGCATAAAAATAATTAACATAATGAAGTCACCAATTATTTTGGCCTATAAAATGTTTTTTTATTATAATTTGACACATATGATTATTATGAATAAGACTGACACTATATATGATTAAAAAAGTTGTTAATTAACGAAATCATAGCATAAATTAAGCTTAAATTGTTCAACAAAATTCCATTCTATATTATTGTTAGTTGTATTAGTGTAAATATGAATTTAAAAAAAAATAGTTTAAGAGAATCTTTTTATTATTTTTTAATAAATAATAGATTTTATAATTTATATTATGTTAAATTTATTTAAAATATAAAATTTATTATTATTTCATATATAAATATTTATATTAGACCGGGTCTATATTAAATATTTTGTCTTTTTATTTTACTTTTTTATTTTTATTCATAAATGAATTAAGATTAATTTATATTTAATTTTAAAAAAAAATGATTTAGTTGATTAAAAATTATAAACATATCAAATTTGATTTAATTTAAATTAAAATTATGGTTAAATTTAAATATTAATTTAAATAAAAAATGACAAAATTTTAAATTTAACTCATCCTGAAAGATCTAATTTTAGGGTTAAAATTCTAAAATATCATAAAATTGAATTTATAAATAAAACATATGATGAATTTTATAATAATACGAGAGATGATGCACCAACATTATAAATAATTTTACATTATCAATCAATCACAGTCATATATTAAATTATATTATTTTTTATTTTAAAATTTTTTAATAACACGACAAATAATATAAAACTATTCTATATTGTCAAACATGTACCTTAAACCCTTCTATAATCATGAAAATATGTTTAACTATATAACAAACTATTTCTTCATGAATTTTGTTTGAAAATATACCACCATTCTTGAGACTCATTTGAGAAGTTATACAATCACTCTTAATGATTTCCAAATTAATTAAAGGTGTTTTAGCTAGCTAGATGAAAAGCACAAGAGTCCAAATGGAAGACAAATAAAGCACAGTTAATATAAATAATGAATAATTAAGATAATAAATATTAATAATTAAAAAACTAATCTATATATGTTGCTATTGAGATCATTCCAAAGCCGGCTAACAGAATAAATCTGTAAGCAAACTTCTAAGACTTTTCCACTTTACACCACACATTCACTTGACCATACATCTTTAGGTAATGCCTATGTCCTTTATTTGTCTCTTCCTCAAACCTTCTCCACTTTCTCCTTTCTATATTACTCTTCCCTCTCACTTCAATTTCTTTTATCTCATTCTATAATTATATCACCATGGAATTCAGCTACCTCCAAGAAGATTCAAAGAGCTCGAGCGACGAAAACATCGACCGATCATCCGATCATGATGATCATGACATGGGAATTGGTAGATCCTATGAGTGTGTGTTTTGCAAAAGAGGTTTCACAACTGCTCAAGCCTTAGGTGGACACATGAACATACATAGAAAAGATAGAGCAAACAATAACAAAAGTGTCACTAAAACAAATTTCATTCCACCTAGTTCAAGCAAATTAGTACTTGATCATCATCATCATGATAGCTATGGAGATCTTGGATTTTACTCAACAATTAATCCACCTCATGGTTATTATTCTTCTTCAATTTCATCCAAAACTACTGCTCCTGAGGTAGATTCTCTTAACTATCATCAACTATATTTTCCTTCACATCATGTGCAATATAGTGAGATGCTTTGTGTTGAAAATCAAAGAATGTTTGGATCACAAGATTGGAGGGGTTTGAGCTTGTATACAAATCCATTGATTAAAGACAAGATAGAAAACAACAATGAAGTGGATGAATTGGATTTGGAGCTTAGACTTGGTCATTATCCATAGCAGCAATGAATATGTAATTGCACTTATTTCTCTACCTTTATATATAAATATAATTGCATGTTTTATATATTAATTTTAATGGCATGCAATTTTTATATTGACAAGTAATTAAGATTTCTATGTTATGGAGGCTTTTTCAAGTTAGGGTTCTATAATATTATATAACCCAGAAGTTCTTACGTATGTTGCTACTACTCTCTCCTGTTTAAATTTTGTATTAATCTTTTTGTTTGTTTAATTTCAATGAAAATTAGGTTATTTATGTGCATACATATAAGTGTTTATTCATTTATTTATTTTGTAATAAATTAATTAATTAAATTAATTTACAAACCTCTACTAGCTCTAATTATATATATAGATTGTGAAGCTAATTAACTCTTCAAATATAAAATGGTGACTCTATGGATTTATCTAAGGGTGTAGCTATTTAGTGGTTTTGATGAGTATTTGATTAATTGTATGTTTTCTTTTACTTTAACAAAAACAAAAATGGGATTTATCTACTTAATTAATTTGGCTAATTTTTTGTTTTCTGAAATATGTTTTTTGCAAGGTTAATTAAGATTCTGTGATGAAGATAGTTTTTTTTGTTGTTAGAGTTAAGGTACTAGACACTTCCAGGATTATATATGAATGATATATATGTTTTGCATTCATTAAAAAATAGTCTTCTTTGGTAATTGGTATTATTGTGTGTGTGATTTATGGGAAATATATTTGGAATGAATGAAATACTTTTATAAAACTGATTTGGGATACAGATGAGAGATGAATATAAAATTACTTGTTTTTTAAGCAAACAATACTTTTAATGTTAAAAGTAAAAAAAAATATTATGTGAAAGTTTCAAATTTAAACTTTCGGTTATTTGAGACTCAAAACAGTTTTATTCAAGAATATCCACACAAATAAAAATCAATTATGTGCTTATATTATTGCATGTGTAATTTGCGATAATATCAAAATTAAATACATGACCTCCTACCTTGGGTTAAGGATATCTTTGATCATTTCCTCTTAGTTCTAAAGTACTCCTCAGACCTAAGGGGTTTGAAGCATGTATGTTCAACTCCTAGTTCTTCTGGGTGATGGAACTTATGACTTCAACACAAAGGTCTCGTTGAGGTGGTCTCATAGAGCTGGCCCATTTCTAGTTTTTCTGAGTGGATGGAGTTTATCCTTAAAGAGAAGCTCAAAGTGTTTAAAGGAAACCCTAAAATATGGAGAAGGAATAAATAAATGGTAGAAATAGGTCTTCTATGAATTCTTTATATCCTTTTCTTAAATTAAGATTTGTTTTGCCTTATTGTTAACATGTTTCAATTGATTTAAATTTTTTGTATTTTTTCTCTCTCTTCTGTCTCCTTAACTCATAACGATTGATATAATCTATAAAAAAATTGAATTCTTGCTTCACTCACCGCCTTCTTAATCTCTTTCTTAAATTTCTTTAAATATTCTCATGTTTCAACATTTTTACACTTAGACAACTTTTTTATAATTCCTTGCTATAATTTTACTCTGAAGAATTTCATTCTACCGTCGTGATTCTTTATCCCATTGGTCCAAAACCTCTTGAATCTTCCAATGTCTCGTTACCTACTTTTGTATTTTTGTGTCATTTTGTTCCACATATCATTTGCACTTCGTTGTTGTTGTTGTTGTTGTTGTTGTTGTTGTCGTCGTCCCAACCCTTCCTCCAAGATTCTTTGTTGGAAACTCCCTCGTTTTTCATCCTTCAAATATCACCACTTGATTTGTGGAGCTCTTATGTGACTTCTTCTTTTCACTCTCCTCTTGACTCTTGCATTCATAACTAATACTCTATGTTGGATAAACAAGCTTTCTCAAGGTATACCTTTATAATTTAAGCAAATCTTTCTATCTGACTTCTTAATAAGAAATAAATATATTTGAGAACATGTAATCTCACTTTTTATGTGATAAGATTTTCAAAGAGGAGACCCAAACAAAAATATTTCTTCCCACAAGGACCCCAATGACAACTTCCTACGTGAATCACAATGATTTGTGTCTCATACCTAGAAATTAGGGCACCTCTTTACAAGGTTAACTACTTAAAAGAGTCTGCATTCAATTACCTAGAGGAGTCAAGTTAAAGATACGTGGATCTATATCCTAAAGGGATCCTCTATTTATTGACTTAAAAATATCATAGCTCCAAACCCAAGATATTTTTCTTGCCTCTTAACCTCCCAAAGAAACACCTTTGAATCAGAAGGATGTGTTTCAACACTTTGGAAGGCTTCTTCATCAATAAAGATTATATTAACTTCATACAAGGACAAAAGACTACTACAAGAAACAAATTTAACTTCGGTTGGATATGAGGTGTTACCTCGGTTTCAAATACAAGGTAACAAATGGGGTCATAAAAGTGTGCCCCTTTACCTCTCGGTTTTAATTCAACCTGTTAATTCTTTGAATTATGTAATCGACATTATGTTTGGTAAAACTAATTGAGCAGCAATATGTTAGATAGGATGTATTTACTTGCTAATAGGAATAGGTTGTGCAAGAATTAATATCTTATGTTGAGACATATTGAGTTAAAATATTTCAACATCTGGAGCAACATGTCAGATAAGATGTCCTATGAAGGAGCATACGACATCGCGCCTGAACTGAAGTGGTCTGTTTATTATGTTAAGTCGCAATGACATAATATATTTTAGAATATTATATTATACTATCTGGCGCTATTTTATAGGTCATGAAGAATCAAGTCAAAATATTGAATATTATGCAGTTTCTAATTATGGAGATAATTTAGGAAACTAATGATTGAAAATCTATTGTTATGCATAATCTTCTACATAATTGTAACAACTGACAAGCTGTGATTGAAGGACCAAATCCAGTTGGTTATAAAAAGAAGCTTTGTAACCTAGGTTTGTGTATCGGTCGTGAATTATCAAGATATAGTCATTAGGACTGAGTCTGTAGCCACTCTCTAGGAGAGTTTGTATAAGTGAACCACTCGGATTGTGAGATGGTCATTGTGTTCTCCTTGAAGCTATGAAGCAACAATGAGTATTGTCTTGGAGGAAGATTTTAAGAACCTCCAAGTTAGTGTTCTTAGTCAAGAGTCTTGGCTGAGTTTAGAGGAAAATGTGTCTTCCTGCTTGTCATAGAAGTGAGTCTTCTCATCATGGAAGTGTGTCTTCCTATTTTTGTGTTTGAAGTGTGATCTTTATATAGGTAGAAATTCGTCGATACAGTGACTTGGATTGAGACTGTTAGACATCATTGCGGTGATTGAAGGTGAGATGAAATTTCTCATATCTAGGGAGGACCTAGGTAGAAGTTGCACATGGTAGTGATTAAGTGATAAGTTTTAAACAAGGGAGTTTAACTTCGAAATGATATTGTCTAGTGGATTTCCTTCCTTGCTTGGTATCCCCCCGAAAGTAGGTGTTGGTTTGTACTGAACTGGGTTAACAATTTATGTGTGTTGTTTATGGTTTTTCAGTATTGTTTTGAATGTTTATACCTTGCCATATTTTTTATTGTTCAGAGCAGATGTCCCAACATGTCACAGGACATCTGAGTTCTGACCTATACCAAAATTTCAATTGGTATCAGAGCAGGAATCTTGCGCCGTCTCTAGATGAGATCCTGAGAAGATACTTTCTAGTCATGTGCAAGGTAGGAGTTTCTATTGAAAAGTTGTTTGAAATTGGATAGTTCATATTGTTTTGAATGGTGTTGTACCCCAAAATTTTCCCTCTCTTTTCTCAAGACATTTATCACAAAGATTTTCAAAAGCTCAAGTTTGCACAAGTACAATTGGACTTTTAATGCCCCATATAGTTTCCATGGATCATATTGGACTTTCAAGCATCAGGTCAAAGATAGAACTTCTGAATCTTTGAAAGGAGGAAGAAGAAACTGTCGAAAGGGAAAAGCAGATAAAAAAAGGTGTGCAGCTGTAGATAATAGTTCGAATTCAAATCTGGTTCAGGCTGTTCGGACCACATGACTGGTCGAAAAGGAGTGGTGGGTAGATTTTGACAAATCGAAGAAGCAAGCTTGCTTCGATTCACAAGCTTCGATTGGGCAATAGTTTCCTTCGAGCAACCTGCTTCGGTCCACCTCTAAACCCTTCGACACACATAGTTTCGACACTATGGATTACAAGTCTATCTTCATGCTTGCTTCGATCCCCAAGCTTCGACTGGGAAATGGCTTCCTTCGAGCAACTTTCCTCAATCCACCTCTAAACCCTTCGACACACATAGTTTCGACACTATGAATTACAATTTGAGGTTTGGACATTTGAACTTTCGACCACTTAATCAACTTATTACTCAAGATATGGTTACTGGTAGGAAAGCAATCCAGAAATTCTTTTGTTTCGACTATGCCAATGAGATCATCTTGCATACTCAAAGTGGTACATTCAGATGAATGTGGTCCATTCGAAGAACATACAATTGGTAGAAACAAATATTGTTTTGTCTGTTGATGAGTTTGGTCGAAGGTTGTGGATCTATGTGATCAAAATGAAAGGACGAAGTAAGTGGTACATTCAGATGAATGTGGTCCATTTGAAGAACATACAATTGTTGGAAACAAATATTGTTTTGTCTGTTGATGAGTTTGGTCGAAAGTTGTGGATCTATGTGATCAAAATGAAAGGACGGAGTATTCGATTCAAGGAATCAAGTTGAAGACCGAATTTTGAAAAACATTGATCAAATCCATAGGCCATGCTACATGATCTTTCTTTGCAGGCCTCAAACTTGTGTTTCACTCCATAATTAATTGTTTACACAATTAATTAAACTCTTACCCAAGAGTTTAAAGTATTGTCCAAGCCAAACCTTTTCCCTATAAATAGAGACATTATTTTCAACATAAAGGAGAGAGATGACCAGCCTTAGAACACTCTCAAAAACTCCTTGAACTCAGAATTTGCATCCAAAGCCACATTGCTTGCCATTTTTTACTTTGAAGAGCAAACTCCAAAATCC